CTACCAATTAAGAATAATACTATTGATCAAATACTGTTAATCAAATAATATATATTTGAGCATTATGTATGTACAGACATAGACACACACGCACACTAACTAATATATGTTGTAAGTCTATATATGTAGTAGATATATCAATAGTAATAGTATATGCATAATACTATTATTCAAAATCAGTTCTGAAGAGTTCCTGAAGTCTTTAAACTCATTAAATTCAGTGAAATAACAAAAAAAAAAAAGCTTCAGGACCTGAATGACTCATAAAACTAAAGCAATGTATATAGTCATTTATGCAAAAGTGCATAAATTTGGTATCCATACAGAAAATTTGGCTTTCCAAATCTCAATTTCCAAATAAGGATAAATAAGGGTGAATACAATAATGTAGTGCGTCCTGGTGGCCAGTAACTTCAGTCTAAGTAGAAAGTTATTAACTTGGATTTAATTTCTTTTTAAAAAAACTTTAATTTTGTATGCTGATTGGGTCTGCACTGTCTGGAACTAGAGAGAAAAAATATTTGGATCATAGTTCAAAAATATTTTGGATCAAGAAAAGGTGAGAAATTTTTGGAACCTGTATGCAAAAATGGCAACTGAAGGACCTGAAATATTTTTTAAAAATCAGGAAAAGGTTTTTCTTCTTATGTCAGCACACAAGGACCACAAGTAATTTAATGAATGATATTTAGAGGAGTTAGAAAACCCCTTGTTTGCACAAGAAGTAATATATCTGCAGATTTAATTATTGCAATAGCAACAGCACTTAGACATATATACATTAAAAGGAATTTATTGTATAATATTTGAAAACAGATCTACCAAAGAATATTGAGTCTCAATATTTTCTCTTGATTGTGGGACAGCATGCTCTAGATACCATTTGCAAAGGAACTGTGTACAGCAGGAGTCCCCAACCTGGGACACAGCCCACTGCCGGGTCATGGCCTATTTGGAATTGGGCCATGTGAGTGTCAAGCTGGAGTGTGTGCATCTCAACTTGCATGACCGGTGGGCTGGCAGACACTCATACGTTGGCCCACCATTTGTGTAAGTTGAGCTATACAGATGCATGCTGACTTGCCACTCGTGCAAGGGCTGCATGTGTATGCACATGCTGGCCCACCACTTGTGCAGCCCACTTCTCTTCATCCGCCTCCAGCTGGACCACCAAGCCGCAAAGGTAGGGGCTGCTGGTGTACAGTATGTCTTTATTTTCTACTTTTAGTGAATTTGGATATATTAAGCAATGTAGGAACCTTGTCTTCATATAGTAAAATTTATGCACTGCTTTGATAGAGCCTTTTGAAAAGTTGTATGCTATATTACAGGACTAATGTATAGCATCTGATTCATAAACAATTATGCAAAACAGTTCCCCCCCCCAAAATATAATTGTGCTCTAGAAAAACTAATAAAAGTGCTGCAATAAAGTCATTTGTTTTTTTTAAGATAGTTTTGAATTCTTTATTATTATGAACACATCTATCTAACAGCCTTAATTGTTACTTTCTATACAAAATAAACATTTCCCTATTCAAGTGGGTTTGGGCTGGAAGGGCTGAAAAGACCACCTTTCTGTATAATTGGCACCCCTGAAGATCCTGGGAGTGTTACTTGGAACCCTGACATTAGTATTACTGAAGTCTTTAGTCTAGAATTCAACATATACTTTTATTCAATTAACCAACACTGCTTGTTAAGTCACACTTCCAAAAGAAACTCAATTGGTGAGATTATCCCGTTCATTGCACCTTCCTTTGGGTAGTTCCCAAACTCATAGATCCTGTCCTTTCTCATCAATTGTAGTCATTGTTCCAATTCTTGCCTTTTCCTTCTAGAAATACTGTGAACATGCATTTGCTGTTAAAATATGCCAGATTCTTTTCAGGCAGAAAGACAAACATATTTCAACCTTGCAATCAAAGATAAACATATTGCAACTCTGCAATAAAAAATCCCTACCCATCCGTTTGATTAATTTTTGTTCTTAGAGCAAGAGTTGTAGGATAGCTTTATTTTTTCTTGTCCCTTTTTCACAATTTCAGGCTAAACAAGTATAAACTCTTAACCCAAAGGGATATTAATTATACATTTTCCTTAAACATCCTTCTAAATTTGTCAGGCAAATCCCTGCTAATTTAATTGACTCACTCATGAGTGATGCTTCCTGATATCAATATGCATTTTTATTTGCTTTTTAATCAGCGCTGACTCAGGAAGTGATAGTCACTCATTTACTGACAATGGACACATCACTTGCAACTTTCAGTTCTGACTACTCAGCACACAGTTCCTCAGACCACATGGAACGTTTCTGATCAGTCTTACTTTGCTGTCTACTTATCTAATCTTTAAAACCACCTAGGTTGATGGACATCAGCAGACCTAGGGACAATGAATTATATAGTCTTAACTATTTTTCAGCTGTTTTGTTGACTTGTATTCAGCTATATTGGTTGACACCATATTGTTTCATTCTATATTTTCTGGGGAAATTATATATATAATTTGGATGGTAAGTGAGCCTTCAAAGGAATCCTCATTTTATAGCCTTAGTTGCACTGTGGAAAAAGTCTCCTTCCCTTCCCCGACTGCATTTGGCAGAATTACAAGGGAAGGGCCTTGACAAAGATCGTAATGAGACCAATTAGTGCAATTTGTCAAATGTTATGGCTGTGTTGTCCATATAAAATTCAGCCTTAGTATTGGAAGGTATTTTACAAATAAGAAACCATGGACTAGTTGAACTGGGTAGAAGTCAGGTTTGAGTGGATGTAATCTTCTATCAGGCCTGCCCAGCAAATTTTCTAGTGATCATAATGGGTTATTAGCTTAATGAACTACAGGATGAATATTCGGTCTTACAAACTACTGTATATAAGTCCATCTGAGTACACAAGAACATTGACATGCAACAACACCTAAGGTAAACCAAAGCAATTATGATGTACCAAAGACCAAGAGAAAATTAGAGCATGGTGGATGGATAAAAGAAACAAGAGTCAATACATAAACATTCATGATTAAAAACTGCCCAAGAAGAGTTACATACTTCTCCAAATTATTTTCTACATTTGTACCAATATTTTACAAGATTTATGAAAAAGAGCTTTAGATGATAAAATTAAACAGGCAAAAAACATGGACATGTTTGTAATTGATGTTTTTCATCTACAACTTCTCTCACTATTTTTTCTATACCTGGAATTTTTTTTGAAATCAAGATATTACAAGAAAACTTTGATAGCTAAGTAAGTTAGAGAAACTCTTCACTTACACTTAGTTGGGAATAGCATGTGGATCTGTGATGTATATCTCTAATTAGTTGTAGTGGAATTGAGAAATGTACTAAAGGGACAGTTAATGGGGTCTAGGACAACTTGCTGCAGCCAACTTACCACAGCCAACTTGTCATGGGACAAGCAACTATTCACAGGACAAGTCACCACAGGACACTTCAATACTGTATTAATCATTTCATTTATATACTTTTATTGGTGACCACATTTTCATCAAAATTATTGTAACTCTTGTATTTCTGGTTTGACTTTCTTTAGTTTATTATTGGCCATGGTTCCATCAAAATGAATTTAAGTTTTGTGTTTGTTGAATTGTCCCTTGGTGAATTGGACACAGTGAGTTGGCTGTGGCAAGTTGACTGACAACTTGGCCATGGCAAGGTAGCCATGGAGAGTTGTCCCATTCCACCACCCAGAGTCCCTTCCCTAGGGAGATGAGCAGTTCAAAATGTGAAAAATTACACACACACACACGCACACACACACACACACAAGTATCTGAGTTTTTTAAACACAGTGGAAAGAAGTATATTGGCATATACATATATAACACAGGTCTGCGACTAAAAAGCTGTTTGATTATTTTCATCTNTTATTATTATTATTATTATTATTATTATTATTATGTTTTTATGCTGGTAGAAATGTTATTAAGATCTTAATGTTCTGATATCTGAAGCTACACTTCCGTCAACATTGGTTTGGAAAATATTTTGAGGTACGGAATCAAAATTTCTATACCTGGCCACATCAAGAATACTCCAAAACACTGTGCATGCATCATGTGTTTGTTTTTGGGATGAGCAGCATTATAAAATAGAAAAAGAGTGAGAAATAGTAAGACATTTTAAAAGATGAAAAAGAAATATAGCTAATTACCTAACACCTTTATATATCTTTCTAGCTTTGCACATTATCCTTGCTTCAACCACTTCTATGTCACATCTATATTGTCTTTTGTTCTTTAAACTTATTTAAAGAAGGAGGAAGGACACACTTGTATGAAGTCATTTAAATTTTTTTGACAGACCGTTTTCTTCAGATCGCATTTCTCTACCTTTAGAAATTATTTTCCATTTTTTTTCACTTTCTAGGTCTAAGTTTCAATCATCTACTTTCTGTATCAAACACAATCATTTTGGCTTTTGATACACTATTTTTCAGACACAAATTCCTTGTCAAAACACATAATCTATATAAAATTTGCTGCAAAACATTGGCCAGCGACATAGCATTATCTGCAACAAAAATGCACAAATATTCATATCCCCAACTTCAAATACATCTTCCGTATCATCACATTCATTATTTATTTGTCATAAATACACTGAACAGTCACTGGAACATTATATATCCTTGTATTACTCTCTGATTAATGCTGAATCATTCATTAAACATAATATTTATTTCCTTGCATGCTTTACCCTTATAGATTTGTCATATTCAGCCATCAGTCTTTAACTAGTTCTGGTTAAACAAGGCTTTAATTTATCTCTTTTAAATTAGATATAGAGTATATCTAAATTAGTCTTGTGCCATAAATAGTGTTATCTGGGGAGGACATTACCAATCAGTTCTAACACATTTTGGTAACTAAAGCTGCTCTGCTACAACCATGCAAATGTTTTTGTATCTGAATTAATAACTCTTCTGTTGTGATTACCTTATTGAGCTAACCTACTTTTGCTCTTTTGTCAGGTGATTCTGACCATCACATCACAATGGAAGATCTGAAAAAACTGCGATACCTGGAATGTGTCATTAAAGAAGCACTTCGTCTTTTCCCTTCTGTTCCATTTTTTGCCCGTATTCTGAATCAGGAATGCTATATCAGTAGGTAGTCCAAACAGGTTGTAAGGAGAAGTTTTGTGCTATTGAACTTTATCTACTTTAAGCGCAGTGGTTAGAATGCACTATTGCAGGCTAATTGTGCTGACTGCTGATTGTCAACATTTCAGTAGTTTGATTCTCACCAGATCAAGGTTGATTCAGCCTTCCATCCTTCCAAAGTTAGTAAAATGAGGATCCAGATTGTTGGGGGCAATATGGTGACTCTGTAATTCACTTAGAGAGCGCTCTATAATGCTGGGAAGTGGTATATAAGTCTAAGTGCTATTGCTCTTGTTATTTTGGAATGACAAACATTTGTTCTTCTTTGGCAGGAGGGTATAAAATACCAAAAGGGACTGATGTCATAATTGTGCCATATGCATTGCATAGAGACCCTGACAATTTCCCAGAGCCACAGGAATTCAAACCAGAGCGTTTTTTTCCTGAGAACTCCGCTGAACGACACCCTTATGCTTATATCCCTTTTTCTGCTGGGCTCAGGAACTGCATTGGTATGTACATAGAACAAAGTAGTATAACCCTTGGCTTTCTGAAGAATTATATGTCTTGTAATGATGACATTTTTTTCTCAAAGAAGAGGTAAACATTATAACATAGAATAATAGGGGAGTCCCTATATAATTCTAGACAAATGCCTGTCCAATCTCTTCTTGGAAGTGTTGGAACACTCAAAACTTCAAAGGTATTGATTGTTCTTACTGATTAATTGTTCTTACTGTCAATAAATTTCTCCTTCTAGGTTGGATCTCTCCTTAATGATTTTCCACCCAGTAGTTCTTTTCCTCCCCTTAGGTGGTTTGAAGAATATATTCACCCCTTCTTCTCTGTGACATTCCTTCAAGTACTGGAAGATTGCTATCACATTATCACTAGTCTTTCTCTTTGTTAGATTACATATATCTAGTTTCCTCAATCATTCATGGTATGATTAGCTTCCATACTGTTTATCATCTTATTTCTCTTTTCTGCAGTTTTTCTGAGATCTCAAGATCTTTTTTTATTGTGGTGGTCAGGATTGATGCAGTATTCCAAATGTGGTCTCACCAGACAGTATAAACATTTGGAGTAACTCCTAGAAGTGTCACAATTCTTGCTTGCTTTCTTGGAAGAAAGTATCAAGAAGGATCTCTCAAGGCATCACACTTTAAAACAATTAAGCTAGAGTTAGTTTAGGTCAGGGGTGTCAAACTGGTGACCCACAGGCCAGATGCATCACTCACTGGCCATGCCCACCCCTACAGGAGGCCGAGTTCAGCACCTGGGTTTGGTGTCTGATCCAGCCACCAGTGTTCTGAAACTGAACACCTAAATACTTAAAATGGAAAACCTGCTTAACAGCATTGCCACTGATATCCCAGTTATACAATTTCNACCTTGAAGCGGATTCGGAGACTAATGGGTAGCCAGTGCAGCTCACGGAGGATAGGTGTGACGTGGGTCTGGGTGCACCCACAATCACTCGCGCGGCTGCGTTCTGGACTAACTGAAGTCTCCGAACACTCTTCAAGGGCAGCCCCATGTAGAGCGCATTACAATAATCCAGTCTTGAGGTCACAAGGGCATGAGTGACTGTCTGAAGTGCCTCCCGATCCAGGTAGGGCAGTCTCAATGCAGATTGCCCTCCCTCCCTCTCCCCCTTTCCACATTTTTTTTCCACAGTTTTTTTTTCTCAAAAGGTGAAACAATGTTTACTGTGCAAGGTTTTTTTTTTTAAAGTAAACATATTAGGCTAAACATTGACAGAGGGGCTGGTGTTACGGAGCACAATTCAAGCCAGTCTGTTTCTTCTCCTTTCTTTTCAATACAGTTGCCCCCTTGTTTTGCTTATATATATATTTTTGGCAAAGAATATAACCACTTGTTTACAGAGAAAAGTTACAACCAGTAGAGCCACTGCTCCAGGTAATGGAATTCTTCTATTCAAAAGGGATGGCTTTCTAATATTAGAGAAAACTGATTCTACTGCAGGAGCTAAATTTGAGATTGTTTGCAGCCAACCATTTAACAATAATATCTTTTAGCAATGTAATAATAATTAAAAACACCAGAATTGTTTAAAAATATCTGCATCTTTAATATCATTATTCTAACATATTAATAAGTTAATTTTTTTCTAAATTATTGCAAAGATGATCTGGAATAATTAGAAAACATTTTTTAAAAAGATGCAGAAAATCATCTTTTTTCTCTTATAGAAAATGTTTCTAATAATCTTATGTACATGTTCCTAAATATAAACAACTCTGAAAATTGTAGGTTTAGTATAGATCTTACAGAATTAAAAACAATGTCAAAACCTTTTTTCAAATGACAATAAAACACTCATTTTTTTTTACTGAAAACAAATGCCTTATAAACTGTAGCAAATAGGGCCTCTTGAGAAATTAAATGTTTGTTAATTTGAGTAGTAACTTCTTGATATACAACATTCCCATAGATTATAATACAATGCAGTTCTTGGTTCATGTATATTATAATTCAGAGACATGTACTATATAATATTTAGAAAGGATTATTTAAAATAAGTGGCTGCGGAATAAATGAAACCAAATGGAATACACATAAAACTAAAAAGATGTAAAATCATTCAAAATGACAGATACACAAAAAAATGGAATTAAAATATATTGTTGCATACTTTTTTTCTTTTAGGATGTTTTGGATCTTTCAAACTTTTTATTTCATCGCATTGTTTTCTTCTGTACATAGTGGTAAGTAACACAATGTATACAGAGTTTTGTCTTCAGAAGGAACATCAATATGCACTTATTTATAATTATGTCAGGGGACCCCAAGACCCAGGCCACTACTGGTCCATGGCCTGTTTGGAACTGGACCACATGAGAGGCTGGCCAGCACACATGTAGGCCAGTTCCCCTCTCCCCCCCTCTACCAGGCCACCAAACTGTAAAGGTTGGGGACCACAGATATAAGTTACCATAAAGAATAGGATACTTCAAAGAACTGTATCTTAAATGTATACAGAGTTTTGTCTTCAGAAGGAATTTTCAGAAGTAGCATGATTTTCCATTAAATTTTTTTATGAAAAGGCATAAGGTTTTCTAACATGAAGCTCACTTCAGATGCATATATGGTAGATAGTTTCTATGTAGATAAATTACTGAGCGTGCAGACTAGTGGTTTCCAATGTGGGCCCATGCCCCACAGGGGGGCAATTTAATTTTTAATGAGGGCAATTTGAACCTTGTTTAAATCAAGTTAATGTCCTTTTAGGCTTCTTCCGCATGAGTAGATTCACTTTTTGAGTAAAGTAAGAATTTTATGTCACGGAGAGGGGGGGGGGGGACATTCTGAATTCAGAAGTCCTGCAAAGAACCAAATGGCCTTTGCCATGTCTCCCTATCACCTTTTCAATACCTCATTCCATTAGATTTTTTTTTAAGAAATAGAATGAGAGTTGAAGGGTAATAAAAGACCTACCATAAAAAGGCATGATTGACTGATTTTAATCCTAAATTGTAGCATTCCACATTATTTTATTGATAATCTTACTCATAGATTGCAAAATCTTTCCCTCTATAGGGGAGAAAATTAACACTTGCTTATTATTTCATTCTTGGTTTGCCTTAAATTTATCTATAATATACTAGAAATAATAAGGGTACCGGCTACATACAAGACCGGACCAAGGACTGGGGCCAGAGGCATCTTTCATTAGCATTTCTATTTTATTCAAGTGAAAATATCCTTAGAGACAGGATCATTTTTTTATTTTTAATATATATTTTTATTGTTTTTACATTTAAAACAGTGCAACACCGTGAAGTCGAAGTGACCATACAATCACATTATATACAAATAGTTTATTCCAGTAACTGTTAGCCTACTTAATACATCATCTATCCTTCCATCCAATCACATTATTTACAGTTTGTTCCAGTCTTGTCACCTTGTCTTATACCAATAATAAAATCTGTTCTAGAATTCAAAATATTCCAATTCCCCTTTATTTTTTAGTTCAAGAGTGAGCATATCTGCTTCCACAAAGGCCAAAATTTTTCTAAGTATATCTAACTCTGATGGTGTATTTTCTTTTTTCCAATATTGCACATAAGTTATACGTGCCACAGTTAGTACATATATAATTAGGTAAAGGACATCTTTCTTATACTCCTCCGGTATTATGCCTAGGAGAAAATTTTCTGGTTTAAACAAAATCTCCCACCCTCTGTTCCAACCATGATTGTATCATTTTCCAGTAAAATTTTGCAAACAAGAAACAAGAAATTTTGTTTAATATAGGGGGAAGAGCTTTTAAAAAAGAAAGAAGAATTGTTCTCACATTCTGAATTAGCATAGAATCCTGGCTTGGAATTTTGGGCCATGAATTGTGTTTCAAAACCTGGGTATGAATAACATATTAAGTCTTCAAATAACTTGAATTATTTCCATTTGAAAATATGGATAGTCTCTAAATCTGTCCATGCCCTTTGGTGACAGTTCTTGTATTACATACTGAATCACAAACTTGTTAACTACATTTTAGCTTACATGGTTTGTGATAAGGTTAGTTTATGGTTCTCTAAATTGTGGAAGCTCAAATGATTTGGTTTAAGCAAAACCATGGTTAAATTAACGTGGGGCAAGCACATCCATAGCCAGCTTCCTTTAAGTCTACAGTTAAGCCAAGACACTCATCAATATTTTTATTGTATTTATTAACTAATCAAATTTATATGGCCACCCGTCTCACAGAAAGTGTCTCTGGCTGACATACAACAATATGAGTTATAAGTAGAAAAGGTACTCTGTTTCCTTTCATGGACAAGATATTTAAATTCCTGCATAGCATTCTAGTGCCTTTCAGTGTTGTCTAAATTTAGATCTTCTGACTTTGCAGCACAGCTAAGACTCTGGCATCTTTTTTTTTTAAACCTCAGAATGTATGTCTGAGATATACAGAAACACATATATCGAAGGAGGAGACATATCTAGGATTTATACTCCAACAGCAGATTATTGTCAGATGGTATGCACTTATCACCCAAGATGTCTTTTGTTCTCCTATATACCAGGAAGCTGGGTAAAAACTACTGCAAGGTAATGCTAAGATTATTTGATGGATTATGTGTACATTCCTGTGGGCATGACAGTGGTGTGAAAAGGCCTTTCTAAGACAAAAGAGAAAATAAGGAAATGGAAGGTACTTCTAAATAAATTATGACAAGAAGAAGACAAGAGTGGGTGGCAATGGAAGTTACATCTTTTGAGTTGGGCGGTCATATAAATCCAGTAAGTAAGAAAACAAGTAAATGTAAGAAATATCTGTTATATGAATAATGTATCCCACTTCCAACTATCAGGTTTTCTTGCTTCCTGAAAGAAATTGATACTCAAGAATTGCCAAAGATTCACAGGGAAGGAATAATCTCTGGTCATTCTCGGAAGCAATGCACTCAAATTACTGGTAAGATCTAATTGTTTATGAGACTTTACAAAGCAATGAAAAGATCATAGGGTGCTAAAAATGACCTTATAGCAAATCTAATAATTGGTCATTTATTTCAATATTCCTTGTACCAGAAAATTTGCTAAAGGTTTAGCTGGAAGCTTGAGTTGAAGCCTTTCCAGAACTTC